AAAAAAAAAATTAATTTTAACTAAACGACTTTCCCCCTTAATCAGTCAGCCTTCAACACGAGGCTGCGCCGTAAAAGTTTTTCAAAAGCCTTCAGTGCTCGGTTGAAAACCTATATTCATCTCCGCTTCTTTATTCTTCCATGCAGTTATCTTGAAGAATTCTAAAATATTATAGCTTCTTTACTAAACAACTTCGAAATACTGATGCATAAACGGTAGTAACAAAGTTCTTTGAAAAATTCACAAAAAGAAACGCGTCATCACCGTTAGAATGAGTTCTAATCATCAAACTTCTTTGCAATTACTTCCATTAGACCCTAAAAACCTCTCTCAAGAACAATAACTACAAATAACACCTTCAAACTACTGCTTACGGCCATTCTTCAATAAAACGTCAACATCGTAAATGGCAACCTCTGCGGATAACAATTACGAATCACAAGCCATATTCTCAGGCAGTAAAAGTTCAGATGCGTGAATGCTCGTACTGCTTTATTCACAACTAATTAATGACCTGATGCGAAATAAAACGCTCATCTGCTCAATCAGAACCTCTTCAGAAAAACTGGCTCTGTATAGTGCAATCGCGTAATATTGCACAAAACATTAAAAATTATTCTGTCTTAAATAACAGCCTACTAAGACTAACTTTTCAAACTTACCAGCATAGAATCACTACCAACAGCCATAGGAACTATGCGTAGTGATGGGTCATCACGCATTTCCACAGCAGCGAAAAAAGCATCCATATCAACATGAACAGCAATACGTGACAAATCACGTTCATCTTCCAGCAGGTCAACATAAGCATCCATCTAAATAACTTCTTTTTAAAACAACGCAGCCAGAAAAACTAACAATCACAACTTTCTTAAAAACCCTTAACCAGCCTTGTTTCCACCTACTTCTGCTTCAGCTTTAGAAATTTCACTTTGAGTGAATGCCTTAAGTAACTCGTTATTTCGCTCAATCCGCGCACTTATACGTTTAGCTCGCTTCTTCGAATGTCCTTCATAATTTGCGCTTGTATTCTCCTCAATAATCTTTTCAATTTTCTCCTGCAGAGAAATTAGTCAAATTTAAAAACTGAAAACAATTTCAAAACATCGTCATCTACTTGTGCAACTACAAACTGTTAGAAAATTGCTCAAGATCACATCACCTTATCCAAACCAGACATTCCAGCTTTATCGTCGCTAAACCTTTGCATGGTTTATCCAAGAACCCTGCGACCTTAAAACAGAGAACAAAATTAATATACATAGCGCCTTTATTCCTAGTTTGGTGCGGAAATTCTTCCGCAGCAGAATCAAGACCACAATGATGCAATCGATTAGCAACTCATAAAAATGCCGACTTAAGTTCAAATTGAGCGGTGTTTACTTAACTTACTTTTGGGAAACTGCGGATTTCTTGACATTTTTGACCTTTAAAGAACTACACCCACCTATTTTTCTCGATCTTGTGTTGATCCTTCCAGCCGCTGTTGAGGTACTCGTTAAAATGTGGCGTTGAGGCTGATTTCCATTAATACTAGTTCTGTTACTTTTTCTCAAAAAAACTGAGTTTGTTAAAGATGAAGATTTTTTTTATTTTTTACATACAGATTTAATGAAATCTGTTCTTAAAATACGTGAAATCTTTTAGGGCGGTATGTATATATACATATATAAATTTAAATAAATATATATAAACATATAAATAGATAAACAAACAAATAAATAATTAAACAAACAAACAAATATATATATATATATATATATATAT